GTGTGTGTGTGTGTGTGTGTGTGTGTGTGTGTGTGTGTGTGTGTGTGTGTGTGTGTGTGTGTGTGTGTGTGTGTGTGTGTGTGTGTGTGCGCGCGCGCGCTTCTTTTTAAAACAATTTCACTTTGCAAACTTTTTAATTAAACTTACTTACTGGCACTAGGGGTCTGGCATTTTCCTTACATATTACTGCCACTAGGAGGCTGTCATTTTCCTTACATGACAGCATAAAAATAGAGAAAGGGGTGCTCTTTATGGAAACATCAGGAGTCAATTAGATCATCATGATACCTCCTTTGCCCCCACTGCATGCAGAGGCAGTTTACCTGGAGGCTGCACCAGGATTCTGACAGCTTTCACCAGGAAAAGCTAATATCTTCTGTGCTCAGTATAAACAGAAGAGATGGGGGAACTGCTGTTCCCCCATCATTTTCTACTCCATCTTCATGTGAGCTGGTAGTGGCAGTGCTCATGGGCTCGTAGAAGAGCCGGCTTCTGTCAAACGAATCAGTTACTGTATATTGTGACATATCAGAAATTTATTCATACTAGGGACAGTTTTTCTAAAAAACAATACAGACTAATGATTTCAGGACAGTGTGGAGCACCAGGGCCCAGTCGCAGCTGCAACCCTGGTAGTTCTCGTGAAAATGCAACGTGTAGACACTGGTATCTGAAGTGGTATCTGTGCATCCCTAATTCATACAGACTTGACAGATCAATTTTAAACGTGCTGTCACCCTCTCAATAATGGTGTTCATATTTATTGAGGGGTGACAGCACGTTGAGTATGGGCATGAGTTGAATTGCCCTGAGGACATGTAACTGTGCCCTTCCTGACAGTCTTTGTGGAGCAGTAAGTTACAAAGGCAATTCTACTTACCTCTCGAGGGATGGTGTCTTGTAGATTCGTGGGGAGCACAGACTGGGGATGTTGATTGAAGTTCGTTGTACATCAATGTCTGGCCAAGGAGTGCACTGAAAATATATTTATTGTAATCAGAGCAATGCTAAGCTCTTTAAACATCGGAAATTATTAGATATTGGCAAACTGATTAGGTCATTAATAAGTAATGATAACCTAATTGTATGCCTTTTAAGATCTTGGAGTCTTCAGTTATTGAATGGATTTTAATGGATACCAGGCTTGAAGCAACATTTCTAAAAGTAACTTTTACAGCATTTTAGAGCAGTCAAAGCAATGAAAGATGTATAGTTTACATTTTTCTCCATCTTCTTATTAAAGCTGAACTCCAGGTAAAATCAAGTTACCCTTGCAGTGCAGGGATTAAATGCTTGTGTTTGTCTAGGAAGAACATAAAAATCATATTTGCCCCATCCTTCATTCCCACGGGCTTCTTCCCATGTGCACAACTGGCCCCCTGAATATTCTTCTCTCCGCTGCTTTGTTGGTCGCAGGCACTCTGATGTCATCACATATGATGTAGAACCAGCAGTCCTGTATAGTAAGTGAGGACACTGAGGGCCTGTCCACAACCCAGAGAATCCCAGGAATGAGAAGAGCACTAGCTGCTGGGGTAGTGAGGGATAAGGTAAGTATAATTGCTTTTTCTGTTCCTCATAGACCAAAAAGAGCACTTAACTCTTGCAGTGTGGGTGAGTCCTAGGCTTTTTGCTACCGGAGTCGCCACTGGGGAGATTTCACCTTACTTTCTGTCAACATGATTGCTATCAATGGAATAGGTAGTAAGGAAGCCATACACGGCTCAAATTCCTGGCTGATCCCTGCTGAATCGTCTGAAATTCAAGCTGTCGGTGGCTCTGTCGGCACTAGACATGTAAACTCATGCCCTCATTGCCCCTGTACAACAACCAGATATTGCCGTTCCCCGGGTAATATGTGCGTGTGGGGGGGTGTACAGGGACAATGATGGCATGCTTGGACTTGTAGTTCCTTAGCTGATAAATATGTGTGGGGGTGTGGGGTACAGTTCTAGTGGATGTTTATATAATATGGGGGGGGGCGAAAAAAATGTTCTGCCCCGGGCGCCCATAACTCTGGTTACGCCACTGAGTCGGCAAAATTAATTTCGGATGTGTTAGATAATTATGAACCAATGTTCGTTGCAGCAAAGTGACATTAAAAAAAAAAAAAAGTGATATTTTTCTTTTTAACTTGTGACAGTCCACAGAAACAAGTGAACGAGTGGGGGTAGTTGTTACCCCCTCTCATTCACCAAATAAACAGTATGATAGTAAATAAACACACCACCCCGGTTTATAAAGTCCTTTATATGAAAAAAAACCCTCACAGACCCTCACAATCACCAGATTAGGGTTGTGGGGAAGAGTCCCTTGTCCTCATCGACATGGGGATAAGGTGCTTTGCCAGGGGGTCCCCATGTTGAGAGCACACACGCTTCCCCTCCCTTTCCTGCTCTACCAGGTTGCTGCTCGTATCAAGGATCTGGTAAGCAATTTTAGGGGGGACCCCACGCTTTTATTTTGTTTTTTGGCGATGGGGTCCCCCCTAAAATTCCTACCTTTTAACAAAACCCAAGTTCATTCTGAATGGCATTCGGTAAAAAAATTGGATGCATCCAAAATGTAGTTATAGGAAAATTGGGATACATTCGGATTCATTATTTCTTTCATTCGGAAATTCGGACGCATCAATTCGGAATGAAATGAATCATACATGTCTAGTCGGCACCATCTGGCTCAATAAAAGTTGAAATACTGAATGAGCCGCGTGGAAAATTGTCTAGCCAAACATTAGATGCAGTCACTGTTCTTGGGGTATTCAGGCAGCCAGGGTTGTCAGCTGTCTGAATACAATAGTCAGCAGAGGAGATTTCTCCATCCAAACTGTTTAGTGTTCAGGCAATTTCTCTCATTCAGCTTGTCTGATGAACAAAAAAATCTACACGTTTATGGCACAATGAATCTATTATTCAGTGTGATTATTGGGACTTTTGCAAAGTCTTTAGCGGAGTGATTTTGACAAAATTGTTTACCACAATTTCATGGAAATCAGCCTTGAGGCTTAATGTTTCCTACCCCATTAACCCCAATGCATTTAGCCAAAATGATGAATAACGCCAAACTTTTAGGTGAAAACCCTCAATCTCACTCAAACTATTTGTGATGTTACCTTCACTATGACTATCTATAACTCTTAAATACTTAACAAAGAAACGGATCTATTACGTTTAGGTCATTTAGGGAAGGGTTAGAAACTATGCCAGGTGTTCTTGTGGTCTGTGTCCCCACCGCAGAATTTCCTCTCACTCCCTGCTTTTCCAGAGGGAGAGAGGTGAAATCTAACATTTAAGGGTTTTTACAAGGACAGGTATCTTCCCTCGCTGAGGCTTTCCCTCTGTGACTATTGTAAAAGTTAACATTTCCATCACTTTCTTTCCCGCTGGTAACTGTCACCAGGATAAAAACTGAATGTGAATCTCTCCAGTGGATCCCCATTGAAGCCTCAGAAAAGTTCTCACCCTTCCTCTCTGTTCAAATGCTGATGTGGATGGGGACATGCTACATATTTCCTGATCACTTGGTACTCCTTCCTCAAAATACAGGCACTGAAATCAAATTCTTGAATGCATAAAATATATCACATGTTCTTTCCATGGACTATTCTTCCTCATTGTACCAAAAAATTATTTGGCAAGACAATCCCTTTTCTTTTAGGGCCCTGTCACACCATGTCTGGACCAGATCTGCATGCGTTTCTGCAGCACACAAAATAAACTGATGTCACCAGCACACCAATAGTGTTGAAGTCCAAAATGTTTGTTTATTGGAACATCATTTCACCATCATGTTCTGATCCAACTAGTAGATGGATGGCTGCTGGAGACTGCTCTGTCCCTTGTGGCCATATACTTAACAGGAACTTCAAGTGAGCTGAGTGTTGAAGTCAGCTATTTGGAAACATGAAGGCTGTAAGTGTTTGGACAAAAATTAAAAGAAATACTTTGCTGGACAATGTATATTTGTTTGATTTGTATTCATTATTAAAATGTTTGAGAGTTAAATATTATTTTAAGAAAATGGTGAACATGAGTTGAGTTGAACAACATTGCCTAATAGAGGAAGTATTACATGGCAAACACAATACTATCAGGACCGGATGTTAACACTCCAGTCAGAATATATAGTGACGGGTGACTTTACCTATAGCAACCGCCTTTCCCTTAAGGCAAGTGTGCCTACCGGTACTCAGATGCCCCCAGGACTTAAACCATATACTCTGACTGTATATTGTTGCAGTTAGTCCCCAGTTACAGAGCAGAGGTACTGACTGGTGATGGAGGACACAACAAGAGTGTTTACCAGGACTGAAGGCAGACAGAGTATTCCAAGGACAGGCTATTGAGACAGGAGCAGAATACAAGATACAAGATGCTCCGACAGGAACAGTGTACAAGACAAGATATTCAGAGACTGAATACAAGCTTGTGGAGAAAGAACTATCACAGGCTCGGAGACAGAACTATCACAGGCTCGGAGACAGAACTATCACAGGCTCGGAGACAGAACTATCACAGGCTTGGAGACAGAACTATCACAGGCTCGGAGACAGAACTATCATAGGCTCGGAGACAGAACTATCACAGGCTCAGAGCTCTGGGTATGTGATGCTAAAATAAAGTGCCAAAGCTGAGGGGATGTGACCAGGCTCATTATACACAGCTGATGAAGTAGTCAGGAAAGGTACTGAGGGGGTGTGACCAGGCTCATTACACACAGCTAATGAAGTAGTAGTTAGGAAAGGTGCTGAGGGTGTGGGGCCAGGCTCATTATACACAGCTGATGAAGTAGTCAGGAAAGATGCTGAGGGTGTGGGGCCAGGCTCATTATACACAGCTGATGAAGTAGTCAGGAAAGGTACTGAGGGGGTGTGACCAGGCTCATTACACACAGCTAATGAAGTAGTAGTCAGGAAAGGTGCTGAGGATGTGGGGCCAGGCTCCTTATACACAGCTGATGAAGTAGTCAGGGAAAGGTGCTGAGGGGGTGTGACCTGGCTCATTATACACAGCTGATGAAGTAGTCAGGTACTAATCAGGAAAGGTGCTGAGGGGGATCATGTTACCACTGATCAGTGAGCTCCCAGTAAAGATCAGGGAATGTCAGCCACTGCTTCCCCATTGGAGGGACAGACAAAGCAGAGGGAAGGCACAGCTGACTCTGGCTCTTAGACATTTACACAGAGACAAAGCCAACTCTCAGGCAGCCAGGGTGGATCCTGACAATGTCGTCGGGATGCTTTTTGACCGAGCTGTGCCCGTCAGCTAATACCAGACATTAGCCAGCTACCTGCTGACTTTGGGTCACAGTAGTACAATAGAAAATTTATTTTTGTGACCCAAAAGAAAAATGAAGCCAAAAAAAGGTTTTCATTCTCTTTTAACATTCCCTTTACTTTTCCCTATTCCCATTTTTTACTCCTCAAATTATCTTATTTCTCTCTCTTCTCTACCATCCCACACTAGTTCCTTTCCCTTGTTTTGCCTAGTTTGGTCTCACTGGTGTGACATATTAAAGAAAAACTCCTGGGTAAAAAATACTTAACCCTTGCAATGGGGCTACTCCAGCACTGCAAGGGTTAAGTGTTCTTTGTGTCTAGGTAAAAAAAAAATATATATATATATTATATATACATACATATACTCGCCTCAATCCTTCAAGTCCTTTTCACTGTATAGAATGCGATGACTCAAGGATCCTTAGACTGCTGCAGCAGAGGGGGAGAGAGGCTCCAGGGACAAGTCTAAGAGCTGGCCGTCTCCAAGGATTGGGCAAGTACAACTTTTTCTTTTTTTTTTTTTTAACCTAGGCACAAACGAGCACGTAACCCTTGCAGTGGACGGAGGAAGCCCAATTGCAAGGGTTAAGAGTTGTTTTCCCTTGAGTTCTGCTTTAAACTAGAAGATATCTGCTTAATTTACATTGTAATTTCTATCCTAGATTTATCGTCATTATACTACATTCAATCCTTTAGATACCAATACAAATATTAAATGTTAACGAAAAGCTGAACAAAGCATTTTGGATGGAATTTAACTCTAAATTAGGCAAAGAACACTGTGCTAAGTGTAAGAATGCATAGTGACCATCAAGAATTCACCTTTTGCTACCCTCACTACTATATGATTGGTTACCTGGACTTTTTTTCCCATCCTACTTAAAGACAAGGAGGGGAATTTATCAAGACTGGAGCAGACAAAATCTTGTGCAGTTGCCTATGGCAACCAATCAGCTTCTATCCCTCATTTTTAACCCCTTCATGACTGAGGCCCTTTTTTCATTTTTTTCCTCAGTCAGGACAGTGTTTTCACATGCTAGCTGGTACTTCTCCCGTTCTAGGGTTGAGCGTTTCTCCACCTTATCACGGTCTGTTTTCTGCTTGCGATCAGCTCCTTTAGGCTAAACAAAAGGTAAATGAAAGAGATAAATATCCTTAAATGTACTAATACATCTAAAAATAAAAGATGTTTTCTACAACACACTGTAGTTAGGCATACGTTTTACTAATACAGCTGAAAATGTTTCAGGAATATATTAGAATACGAAATGAATGTAGCAGAGTACCTTTACCTGCACAGTAACAATCTCAGAGTTATGTCACTCAACAACTATGCAGCCAATGTTTTCCCAATTTAACATGGTGGAAGATATAGTACAATTTATTGATTATTCGATTTACTAAGGGGTGCAAAGGGAGAGCAGCTATCTCTCCGAGAATTCTGATGTATGCCCTTAAAGTATATTTATCGCATAGAGTAGGGAAAAGGGAAAACCACTTCCTGTCCCAGAGACACAATAGGGAGTGAGAAAATATCTCCAAAGTGAAGGGAAATCCCCCATTAGAGAGTTGTTACTGGAACTGGTAATAATCGTTACCAGGACAATCGGAGAGGGTGAATCTTCCAAGTGAGGACACAGACAGAGATATAAACTTGACAGAGTTTCTAAGCCTTACCTGCTCTATCTGAAAACTAAAACAAATGTTTTGGCTATAGACAAACATCAACTAACAAGTTAATGAAGGGATGGAACCTTTTGTGATTGTTGCTTAACAGTATCTGGGGAGCGTTGCTTAAGTTGGCCATACACAGAGCATAGGGGAATCTCCTTTGCCGGCTATTGTATTCTGACAGCCAGCACCCACATCTGTTAGAATACAGGCACAGTGACTGCAGCTGATTGGCTGCAGTCATCATTTGGCCAACAATTGTTGGCCTGGCTCTTTCTGCACAGGCCCCAGGGCTGCACAGTAAGTGTCAAAGGGCCGCACATGGCTCCTGGGCTGCAGGTTGGGCACCAGGGCTGGGTGTGCCAGAAAACATCCTATTTCAAACCATTGCAGGGGCACGTTCACCATAGTCTTTGAGCTGTTTGTTTTATTTAGCAATAACCAGAAGGAATAAAGTAGATAAAAACAACGTACTAGGCCCAACATTTTCCTGCTGCTCTAGGTACTGGCCATCAAATGCTTTAGGGAAATACAGCCCTGTATATAAGCACCTTGAACACTTTGACTTGACAGCTACAGGAGTAGAGATGTTCTGTAAAACCTCCATGAGAGTCTGACTTGTATGTGTCCACCTGAATTCGGAATGGGGCACCCTTCTCTCCTCCGTTCTTTCTCTGAGTAAATTCTGTACTGATACAATGTACCTGAAAAAGAAGGACACAAGATTTTGTCTCATCATTACATTTTGGTTTTCCTATAAAACGTTTTTTTAGGTGTACTAGCAAGGCCAATCAGACCTTCTGAAGACATTATTAAGACCAAGTTGTCTTTTTCCTTACCTGTATAAAAACAGATGTTCTCTTACTGGGGTCCCACAGGAATTCAATGATATTCAATGAGCTGGTATGTGCAACAGGGTCTATCACACCCACTGAGAGTGGGATATCTGCAAAAAAGGGTATGGCATAAACAAGCCAATAAACAAGTTAGGAATATAGTTCAGTGTGCAACCTAACTGCAGGCTATGACTCTAGGTCAGAAGAGAAGAGGAATTTGCTTCAGCTTCAACCTATTTAAACACAAAACAGAATAGGGATGGTATCTAAAATTCAGAGTACGGACAGAGAATTGGGAAACCTAGGAAAGCAAGAATACACTACACTCAATAGAGTTCCTAAAGTATAACTAAAGGCAAAAGTTTTTTTTTCTAATTTAGGTTGGTGAGGGTTCAGAACCTTTGTCAAGTTTTTATTGCCGCCTGTGTCCTGGTTGGAGAGATGTTCTCTGTTTAATTGTAATGATCACCAATGTCATCGGGGGGTAAAAAGGGACATCCAACATTTTCAATTGCCACCAGAACAGGAATAGAGGGGAAATCTTCCAATGGGGACACCTGTTCCCATTACAGCTTAGAGGGGAATTTTCCACATTGGAAAGATACCCTCTCACTTAAGGTGCCCACACACCTTGCGATAATCGTACGATAATTTGGGGGGAAATCCCGCGATCGTACGATTATCGTAAGGTGTGTGGAAGCCATGCGACCTCTACTACTGTAAGGTCGCACGACTTTTATCTTAGGAACATGCTCAAAAACGATGTTCGGCGGGTGTGTAGCATGTTCGTAAGTTAAAAGGCGGATGGGCCGGTGTGCGCAAGCGCACACTGCCCGTTCGGCATTGCGGTCATTGGAAGCCCGCCCCTCAGGGGGCACGGCTTGCGATCATTGCAAGTACGATCTGCCTGTCCAAGATAGGCAGATCGTAATTTTTTTAATTACCTTACAACCATCGCAAGACAAAAGTCTTGCGATGGTTGTAAGGTGTATGCCCAGCCTTACTGTTGACTCTACAGGACAGGACATAAAGGGAAATAACCCACAAAAAGACACAGATGGCAAAAAACAGTTAGAAATGTAAACAGCTACAAGAGATCGCTTGTAGTGGCTGCGGGTGTGTGCCCCTGTACCGTCGTCGCCGAGATCCGCTGTGTCCTGTGCGGCTGGGACCGGCATGGCTACTCTGTTACTGGAGATGAAAGGGAGATCAGTACACAATCTCCCTTTGATCTCCTCTCCTGTCCCCGAATGCAAGAAGTGATGTATATTACATCACTTCTGCATTCAGTGTCAATCTCTAGCAACAGATGTTGGTGAGAAGCTGCTGAAGCAAATCTCTGCTTCATCAGCTTCTCCGCATTCTTGTGTCACTCTCCAGCTTCAGACGCTGGAGAGAAGCTGATAAAGCAGATCTCTGCTTCATCAGCTTCTTCAGGGGGGTCCTAGGTGACATTAGGGGTCTTGGAGACCCCTGGTGTCTCCATAAAGAGGACCTGTTATGTGAATTGGCTATCACATAGGGAGTTTCTTAGCCTTCTATGTGATAGCAATAAAGTTAAGTGTTAAAAAAAGGTTTTTAAAAACGACGATTGCACCCATTACGCCGCACATGTTACATATCGCCGCAAACGTCGCAGTGAGAGCAATAATTTTAGGGCCATCAATTACTGATAACACTATACTGATGAGTGGTAAAAGCGTTTAAAGCGACGCATATGGCCAAGTTTGGGTGTGGTCGTTTTCTGCAATTGCGCGGGCGTGCGTAAGTTTACGGCTTGACATGTTTGGTGTCTATTTACCTGACATGACCCCGTATTTTATATTTTACCAAAAAATTGGGGTGATAATAAATGTTTCATAACATTTCATAAGGAAACAGTTTTTTCCCCAAAATTTAGGGTAATTTTTTTGTTATATAGTAAAAAATAAAACCCCCAGTGGTGATTAAATACCGCCAAAAGAAAGCTCTATCTGTCCCCAAAAAATTGTATAAAATAATTTTCAGTACAGCGTTGCATGACAGAATAAATGTCATTCAAAGTACCGCAGCGCTGAATACTGAAAAATGGCCTGGCCAGGAAGGGGGTTTAACACCCCGGTCTTTAAGTAGTTAAAGGAAGAAATTGGGGATACATGACTTTTTAAAGGACTTTTTAAAGTACTACTTCTATTTTGCTTTAAGGCTCATGTATGCGATTCATTTATATATGTTTAATTGTATTAAATGTATATGATTACTAGCTCGGCACAATATTGCTTTTTCAAATTTTTTACATACAGGTGAAACTCGAATAATTAGAATATCGTGCAAAGTTCATTTATTTCACTAATGCAACTTAAAAGGTGAAACTAATATATGAGATAGACTCATTACATGCAAAGCAAGATAGTTCAAGCCGTGATTTGTCATAATTGTGATGATTATGGCTTACAGCTCATGAAAACCCCAAGAACCCCAAATCCACAACCTCAGAAAAGTAGATTATTACATGCAATCAATAAAACAAGGATTGTACATAGAACAATATCGGACCTCTGAAAAGTACAAGCATGCATATGTACTCAGTACTTGGTTTGGGCCCCTTTTGCAGCACTTACTGCAATTACTTTTGCACAATATTCTAATTATTCGAGTTTCACCTGTATTTATTTATATCCTTAGTGCTTGGTAGCTCTTATTTCACATTATCTCACATAATAGCACCTACTGGCGCTGATCACCTTATTGTTTTTTTTTTACTCCTGTGCGCATGCCCTCACATTACATCATCAGTTGCCACCTAATGGTATCACTGAGAGGAACAGTGCCCCATGGTTGGTGTCACTAAGAGGAATAATGCCCCATGGTTGGTGTCACTGAGAGGAATAATGCCCCATGGTTGGTGTCATTGAGAGGAATAATGCCCCATCTTTGGTGTCAGTGAGAGGAATAATGCCCCATCTTTGGTGTCAGTGAGAGGAATAGTGCCCATAGATGGTGTCAGTGATAAGAATAGTGCCCGATCATTGGTGTCAGTGAGATGAATAGTGCCCCATCTTTGGTGTCAGTGAGTGGAATAATGCCCCATTGTTGGTGTCAGTGAGAGGAATAGTGCCCATAGATGGTGTCAGTGAGAAGAATAGTGCCCATAGATGGTGTCAGTGAGAAGAATAGTGCCCATAGATGGTGTCTGTGAGAAGAATAGTGCCCGATCATTGGTGTCAGTGAGATGAATAGTGCCCCATCTTTGGTGTCAGTGAGAGGAATAATGCCCCATTGTTGGTGTCAGTGAGAGGAATAGTGCCCATAGATGGTGTCAGTGAGAAGAATAGTGCCC